TCTCCCCTTCCCCCCCCCTGCCATATCTCCTCCCCTTGCTCCATCAGCTCCCCTGGTGCCTGCTGCCCCCCACCCCCAACCCCCCACCCACTTCTGCTGTCCTTTTCACTGCCCTCAGCCTTCCTGAGAGCTTCCCCCCACCACCAGCCCTTCTCTCCCCCCTATGCCCACTTCTCCAGTAGCCCCACTCTGATCATGTGAGCTACTCCCCCTTATCCCCTCTTCTAACAGCTCCTTCTACACACCTGCCCTGCGTCTCTCCTCTGGTGGTGGTCCCTCCCCTGCAGGTGTCTGCCCTTCTGCTTCACCATCAGAATCCCCTGGCACTTGCACCTTCTCTTAATCCTGCACCCTCCTGTTCCCTCCCCCTTCCCTCACTGCCCCTACCTCCTTTGCCCTCTTTTTCCCTGATGCCCACCCCCTCACCACCCTCTGCCCCCGTTCCCCTCATGCCCCGTACCCTCACACATGACTTGCTCCATCCCGGCCTTCCTCATACCCACCCCTTCTTTCAAGCCTTTTCCCAGCACCTCCCCGTTCTCCCTCTAGCCCCCAATGCCCTTACCCTCTCCCCTCCCAGCATCACCCTGTCCCCCTCCCACTGACACCACCTCCTGCCTTTTTCCTCATTGTTTGCACTTGGCCCCCTGGCATTTGTCTCTCCTCTACCCTGTCCCTTTGGTGCATTCCCAATCTCTTCCCCCTCTCCTCTCCCCCTCCGCACAAGCTCCTTCCTCTCCCAGCCCTTCCCCTTCCCCTACCTTCTGCCTTCCACTTTGTGGGACTGGAGTCTGCACTCCGTCCCCGGACTCTGATCCTGCAACTCAGCCATACGGTGCAACGCAGCGCCCAGTAGTTTTAAAATCCTGGGCCGTGATGTTACGTCACACCCAGGCATCTCCCCGCCTACCGGTTTGAGCACGCAGTGCAGGGCAGCAGCAGCCAGCAAGGGGGAAGATCAGTGTAGGTTGCGCATGGTGGGGACGGGGATAAGGGAGAGACAGTCTGGGACCAGGGTGGGAGATGCATGGGGGATGGGGGGGCGGAGCCCACTCCAGTTCCAAATATTGGTGGAGCATGGGCACCACGAGCCCATACAACTTGCTGCCCATGCCTCTGTTGGCTAGCCAGCTCTCTCTCTTTCAGAGGGGGGGGAGTGCCGGCTCCTCGTGGAACCCCTAGTTTTGCTTTGCGGAACCCCAGGGTTCCCCGGAGCACCAACTGGGAAACACTGCCATAGAATTATTCTATTTAGTTTTAGTTCCAGTTACTGTCTTTGTAATATGAGGGATGTAATATATGGTAACGTATCATTTGTGTATTCATATTTAGACTAACCTTGGATTCAACAAAATATTAGGAAAACCTTCTTAACTCTGAGACTTAATGAACAGTGATATTCAGTGATGATACCACCTACCTCTTCTATAGAGCTTTTAATCAGTACCTCTCAAAGCACTTTACAAAGGAGATTAATATTATTGATATTTTACAGGTGAGGAAATTGAGGCACAGAATTTAGGTGACTTACACAAGTGTAATCAGGCCAGTGACAAGAGCTGGGAGTAGAACTCAGGGCTCCTGAATCCCAGTCTAGTGCTCTGTTTGAAGCATGCTGAAAAAGGTGGAAGCCTCCTCGCTGGAGATATTTAATGCTTAACCTGGCAAAGCCTACATGCATATATTATAAAATAATTTTGCGGTGATCAGAATAGGGTAGACTGGTCCTAACATGTCTCATTTCATTTTGAATCTCTGTGATTTTGAGTAAGACTGCTTTTAAAAGTAGTTTTTTCCATCAACTTTAAATTGTATTTTATAAAGGGTCTTCCTTTTCTTCTCCTAAACCACTCCATTCCAAAAAATTTCTAATCATCTTTTTTTTTTTTTTTTATAAAGGTATCAGAGCGGGTAGAGAGAAGACTTCAAGAAATAGAACAAGAAATGCGCACAGAAAGGCAGCTGGTAGAAAGACGGCAAGACCAACTAGGACACATGTCTATGCAGTTGCAGGAGGTATGTAAGATAGTTAAGAGTTAAGTTTTTGTGATACTGGGGAGCCTGGCTCAGACAAGGAAGTGGAAGGGGTCACGGTAAAAAGCATGTGCATTAACTAGCTTTACTGGATCTCACTTGTGCTGTGTTGCTAGTAGAAAAAGTTTTTTGTTAGTGGCACGTAGATTCTAAGAAAAAGTCCAGTTCCTGGGTTTGATCCATTTAAAAATATTTGTACTAGGGATATAAGCAACTAGTTCGCTATTAGATAAGCAAAAGCTTATCGGATAGTTGACTAATCCCTCGACTAGTTGCTTCTTTCCCCTCCCCTCCCAAGTGGGGGGAAGCAGGAGCCGGTGTTAGGGGGAGCTGGCTTAAAAGATGGTTCCCCCCAGCATCATTTTCGCAGGGAGTAGGTGGATAGCGGGGTCTGGGCAATCAGCTGATTCCTGGCTTGTGCCTAGTCCTAGATGCTGTGCCACTGTTTTTTAAATGTATTAAGAGCCTGCTATCTCTTAATACATTTAAAAATCAGAAGTTCAGCCGGGGGATCCAGCGTTAGCCGGGACAGCTGATTCCTGGCCTCCTGCTGCGCTCCAGGCTTTTTACATTTAAAAGGCTGGTGCACAGCGGTGGGACCTAGCGCAAGCCAGGAATCAGAAGTCCCATTTCGCACCAGGTCCAATCTGCTGCCCTTCAGCTTTTTAAATGTATTAAGAGCCTGCTTATCAACTAATTGCCGGAAAATCCATCGACTAGTCGATTAGTTGATTAGACTAAATATAACATCCCTAATTTTGTTCCTCATTTTTAAAATTGTAACATTGAACTATTTTTTGAGTACTGTTCTTATGGGCCAATTAAACACAGCACACTGGTTAGGCACCTTTCTGGTGTTGTGAAATCATTTGTACTTAAAGTGAATTAAGTTTGGTGAACCACAAGAATAGTACTGAGCAGAAATTAGGAGAAAATTTTCCCTTCCATTTTCTTCTTTAGTAAACACATAAAATACACGAGAGACAAGGACCTCTTCCAAAACTAACACATGAGACCATATTTTGCATTCTAATTTTTTATTTGATTATGAGTTTGTACTATGATTTGGAATCCTATCTTAGACTGTATAATTGGTTCTGCTGCTGATACAAAATACTTAATTTAATATTTTATCAATTTTCAGTGACAACTTGTGTGCTTTTTTTAAAAAGCAAATTTGGATTCTGCATTGCAGTGGAAACTGAAGTGGATTAATTTATATTGACACTTGGTATTTTGTAGAAGGCCAGAAATTTTCCTTAACTGCCATATTTAAGAAGATAAAATATTCTTTTAATAGGGGAAAAAAGTAACTCTTATCAAAATATTTTTTATATTTTGTCAATTGGATCTCTATCTCCTATTTCCTCCTCTTAAATATGAGTGGTATGTCAGAGTGCTTCATTAAGGCTCTCTGAAGAGGAAATTATTTCTTAGGATTTCCTGAGAGGAAAAATTCTTCAAATATTCATGCATCAATTTTCAGACTAGTGTGTTGTTATCCATTTCATGGATACATGTTTAATTAGAGCTGTTTCATGTGTGATTCGGTAATGTTACCTGCTGATTTATATACACTTCCTTTTTTGCCCTTTTTGGGGACTAATGATTACCTTATGGACATTTTGACAGTTGGGAACAAATTTTCAAATTGAAGACTAATGTTTTGCTTTGGATGATACGGTCTCATATGGCCTTCTTATCAATAACCTAGGTGTATACAACTTAGATGGGGCTTCTATAAGGTTGATGCATAGCTGGCTGGATAAACTGTTCTCAGAGTAGTTATTAATGGTTCATAGTCATGTTGAAAGGGCATAACAAGCGGGGTTCTGCAGGGGTCTGCTTTGGGACCAGTTCTGTTCAATATCTTCATCAACAATTTAGATAATGACATAGAGAGTATGCCTATTAAGTTTGCAGATGATACCAAACTGAGAGGGTTTGCAACTGCTTTGGAGGATAGGGTCATAATTCAAAAAGATCTGGTCAAACTGGAGAAATGGTCTGAGTTAAGTAGGATGACATTTAATAAGGACAAATGCAAAGTACTCCACTTAAGAAGGAACAATCGGTTTCACACATACAGAATGGGAATTGACTTTCTAGGAAGGAGTACTGCAGAAAGGGATCTTTGGGTTATAGTGGACCACAAGCTAAACATGAGTCAACAGTGTGAGACTTGCAAAAAAAAGGCAAACACGATTCTCAGATGCATTAACAGGAGTGTTGTGAGCAAGACACAAGAAGTCATTCTTCTGCTCTACTCTGCACTAATTAGGCCTCAATTGGAGTGTTATCTCCAGTTCTGGCCACCACATTTCAAGAAAGATGTGGAAAAACTGGAGAAGGTTCAGAGAAGAGCAACAAAAATGATTAAAAGTCTAGACAACATGAGCTGTGAGGCAAGGCTGAAGGAATTGGGCTTGTTTAGTTTGGAAAGGGAAGACTGAGAGGGGACATGATAGTGGCTTTCAGGTATCTAAAAGGGGGTGTCATGGAGGGACGTGGGGAAATGGTTCTCCTTGGCCTCTGATGATAGGACAAGAAGCAAGGGCTTAAATTGTAGCAAGGGAAGTTTAGGTTGGACATTAGGAAAAACTTCCAAACTGTCAAGGTGGTTAAACACGGGAATAAATTCTCTCACCTGCTTTTAAATATCTCCAGTGATGGAGATTCCACAACCTCCTGTCAGGGAGAATCTGTTTGGTCCTGCTGTGAAGTCGGGACTGGGCTTGATGAGTCCCTTCCAGTTCAAGGATTCTATGATTTAAGTCTGTAGGATTCTAAACAGGCCAAGGGAGTCCCTTGTATGGAGCTCACTGAAGATTTCCCCAAGATAGGAAACTGAGAATTCTTTAAGGGAAAACAGTGGACAGATCCATAGAATCATAGAACCATAGAGCTGGAAGAGACCTCAGAAGGTCATCAAATCCAGCTCTTTGCTCTAGGCAGGATCAATCCCAACTAAATCATCCCGGCCAGGGCTTTGTCAAGCTGAGACTTAAACACCTCTAGGGATGGAGACTCGACTACTTCCCTAGGTAACCCATTCCAATGCTTCACTGCTCTCATAGTGAAATAGGTTTTCCTAATATCCAACCTGGACCTTTCCCACCACAACTTGAGACCATTGCTCCTTGTTCTGCCATCTGTCACTACTGAGAACAGCCTTTCTCCATTCTCTTTGGAAACTCCCTTCAGGAAGTTGAAGGCTGCTATCAAATCCCCCCTAACACTCTTCGTTTCTGTAGACTAAACAGACCCAACTCCTCATAGGTCATATGCTCCAGCCCCCTAATCATTTTGGTTGCCCTCCGCTGGACCCTCTCCAATGCGTCCACATCCTTTTTGTAGTGGGGGGCCCAGAACTGAACATAATACTCCAGGTGTGGCCTCACCAGAGCCGAATAAAGGGGAATAATGACATCTCTGGATCTGCTGGCAATGCTGCTCTTAATGCAACCTAATGTGCCATTAGCCTTCTTGGCTACAAGGGCACACTGTTGACTCATATCCAGCTTCTCATCCACTGTAACCCCCAGGTCTTTTTCTGCAGAACTGCTACTTAGCTGATTGATCCCCAGCCTGTAACAATGCTTGGGATTCTTCTGTCCCAACCTCATCAGATTTCTTGTGGCCCAATCCTCCAATTTGTCTAAGTCACTCTGGACCCTATCTCTGCCCTTAAGCGTATCTACCTCTCCCCCTAGCTTAGTGTCATCTGCAAACTTGCTGAGGGTGCAATCCATCCCCTCATCCAGGTCATTAATAAAGATATTGAACAAAACCGGTCCTAGAATTGAACCTTGGGGCACTCCGCTAGAAACCGACCACCATCCTGACACCGAGCCATTGATCACTACCCGCTGGGCCTGGCCTTCTATCCATCTTTCTATCCATCTTACCAATCCACATTCCCTTAACTCGCTGGCAAGAATATTGTGGGAGACCATATCAAAAGCCTTGCTAAATTCAAGGTATATCACATCCACTGACTTTCCCACGTCCACAGAACCAGTTTACCTCATCATAGAAGCTAATCAGATTGGTCAGGCACTACTTTCCCTTTGTGAAGCCATGCTGACTATTCCTGATAACTTTCCTCTCTTCCAAGTACCTCAAAATGGATTCCTTAAGGATCCCTTCCATGATTTTTCCAGGAACCTAGGTAAGACTGACGGTCCTATAGTTCCCTGGATCATCCTTCCCTTTTTTGAAGATGGGCACAACATTTGCCTTTTTCCAATCATCTGGGATTTCTCCCGACCTCCACGACTTTTCAAAGATAATGGCCAAAGGCTCCTCAATGACATTTGCCAACTCCCTCAGTACCCTCGGATGCATTAAGTCCAGACCCATGGATTTGTGTACGTTTAGCTTTTCTAAATAGTTCCTAACCTGTTCTTTACCCACCAAGGGCTGTCCATCTTCATCCCATCTTGCGTCACTTAGCGCATTAGTCCGGGAGCCCACCTTGTCCGTGAATACAGAGGCAAAGAAAGCATTGAGTACTTCAACTTTCCCCACATCATCTGTCACCTCCTTCATCTAATAGGGGCCCCACACCCTCTCTGATCACCTTCTTCTTGTTAACATGCCTGTAGAAACCTTTCTTGTTATCCTTCATATCCTTAGCCAGTTGCAATTCCATTTGCGCTTTCACCTTCCTGATAACCCCCCGGCATTCTTGAGTTATACATTTATACCCTTCCCTGATCATCTGTATAAGTTTCCACTTTTTGTAAGCTTCCTTTTTGGGCTTAAGTTCACCAAGGATTTCCCCTGTAAGCCAATCTGGCCTCCTACCATGTTTGCCTCTCTTGCTATGCATCGGGATGGTTTCTTTCAATAAGGCTTCTTTAAATACAGCCAGCTGTCCTGGACTCCTGTCCCCTTCATGTTAGCATCCCAGGAGATTCTGCCCATCAGATCTCTGAGGGAGTCAAAATCTGCTTTTTTGAAGTCCAAAATGTGTATTT